ATAACTTTCTCATCCGGACTCCAAATCGACTAGTTCCGGCGTCATTAGAAAGCTATTTCAGGTGGCTACAAATCCTGTCTAATGTCAAATTTCAAAATTCGGACTCGAACATGGTCAAAATTTGATTCCAACAGCGATCATGAAAATACCCGGTACAGTTCGAGGACACGAATGCGCATCAAGAAACGTGCACAAAAACACTCGCTACAAAGGATACGCACATAAGTAAAAGTACAAAAATCATGCACAAAACTACTCACGCAAAACAGCATTCGCAAAAAGGATCATGAAAAACACAACTACAATCCTAGGACTTTAATACAAATCAACAAACATGCACAAACACACTCGCTCAAATGGAACATGCACAAACGTACTTGTAAAAAAACATGCGCAAAAGTGCATCCGAAACAACGTTCTTAAAAACACGAACTACAATACTATGACTTTAATACGCATCAACAGACAACAGGAAAAACACTAGATAAAAAAGATACAATGGAGTGTAGCAATAATACTCGGCGTTTACGTTTACATGGATTTTTTTTTGGATTAATTTATATTTCTGTTTTTATTGGGTGATTTGGTATCTTTTAGGTACAAATCTAAAATTAGGTGTCCATGAATCAAAAATGATCAAAGGGTAATGAAAGAGTTGCAATTAAGAAAATAAAATTAAATTAGAAGAGAGAATCCCTCAACGTCTTTGGTAGTGTCCACGAAGACGAGCATAACTCTCTCATCCGGACTCCAAATCGACTGGTTCCGGTGGCATTAGAGAGCTATTTCAGTGGGCTACAATTCCCGTCTAACAACAAAATTCCAAATTCGGACTCGAACATGGTCAAAATTGGATAACAAAAGCGATCATGAAAATACGTACGACAATTCAAGGACGTGAATGCGCATCAAGAAACGTGCACAAAAACACTCGATAGAAAGGATACGCACATGAGTAAAAGTTCAAAAGCATGCACAAAAGTACTCAAGCAAAAGTGCATTCCCAAAAAGGATCATGAAAACACAAACTACAATCCTAGGACATTAATACAAATCAACAAACATGCACATAACATGCTCCCTCAAATGAAC